TCAAGATAGTCACTAAGAGAAGAGAAGAATTCTCAGCCACCACAATGCCATAGCCCGAACCACGGCAGAATTTCTGACTGTGGGGAGGTGAGCGGACCAGCGACCCAACCCACAGGGGAGTCTGTGCTGCCCGTGCAGCCGAGCACTCGGTGTTGGGAACTGCTGCAGGCATGCGCAGCTGCGTTGGCCTGGGGAGGGACACACGGAGCCGCCCCCAGCCCCCGGGTCCCAGACTGTTGCGGGCCAGCTTGGGATCAGGAACGGTCCAACACTTTAGATTTGACTTTGACTCTACACCCTGGGAACTAACGGTCCAGTGCAGCGAGGGCGCCACCCTCAGTATGGAGGGGGTTGGTGCACACTCTTTACCAAGTCAGAAAACCGCATAATTGGGAAGTCTGGCCACTGCCAGCAACCCCACCTTCTCGGTGAGGTGCCCTTGCAATTCATGTAGACATGAAGAGGTAATGGAGGACTTCGTAGGCCTCTCTCAGGCACAGACACACACACCTGCAGCACCAGTGAGCCTGCCCTAGCAAGGGGCTGCTTGCTCTAGCAAAGGGGCTTCAGAGGGATCTAGAATCTCTTGGGGGCACAGCAGCCACAGTGACCACGTGTGGGGCAGCCCACCCCAGCTGAGTTCCAGAGTGTCCCAGCAATGCTCCTAGGGTCACGGGCCTGTCTACAACTGCAGTGGCCTCACCCAGAGAGGCCACTCCAGCTAAACAGCTACAGAGGGCCCCAGCATACCTCGTGGCAAAAGGTCCCACCAAAAACTGCTAATACCCATTTCAACAGTGTTGCTGCAGGCCATCCCAGTATCCCTCCTGAGTACAGAACCCCACACACAAATCCAGTCACCCCACTCTGTGTCACCTACTTCAACACTGAAGCTACAGAGTACCCCAATGCCTCTTCTGGGCGTAGAAGTGTCTACCCCAAGCCACAGTAACACCATTGAGTCACCCACTCGAGCTGAGGGGCTGCTGAGCACTCCATTATCCCCTTCAAAGCCTAAGGTCCTAATCTTGAGCCCCAGGAACCCCACCAAGGGTTGTCTGTTTAATCTGAGGACCTTCAAATCACCCCAGAGCACCTATTAGGGTCACAGGACACTAGACGTGGTGCCAGCGAGGCCACTCAGGGACACCCACCTCAGCCAAGGAGCAACAAGGCATCCAAGTGCTTCATCCAAGAGCTCAAGATCTTGCCCATGGCCCTGATGATGACCCAACCCACTGTCATTCACCTCAGCAAGGAACCACTGAGTGCCCCAGTGCCTAGGTCATGGAGGCACTAACAGACAACTCTGACATTGAATGTGGTCAAAGTAACCACACAGAGAGTACATTACTGTATCTATCCAGAACCAAAACAAAACACTCTGCCCAATGGCTGATTTAAAACACATTGATAGAAGGGAGTCTCTCTCCTCAAAAGTCACTCCTGAGTAATAGAAGCAACTTGATAATAATTAAGATCAGAGCAGAACTAAATGAAATAGGGACCAAACAAAGATCAATGAAACAAAAAGTTGGTTTTTTGAGAGGATAAACAAAATAGACAACCCATTACCTAAACTAACTAAAAAAAGAAGACCCAAATGACAAAAATCAGAAATGAAAAAGGAGACATTACAACTGATACCACAGAAATAAAAAGAACCATTAGAGACTATGATGAACAACTATACACCAAGTTTGAAAACCTGGAGGAAATGAATAAATTTCTGGACACATTAATAACTACCAAGACTGAACCAAGAATTAGTAGAAAACCTGAATAGACCAATAACAAGCAACGAAATTGAAGAAGTAATCAGTCTCCCAACAAAGAAAAGTTCAGGACCAGGTGGCTTCACTGGTAAATTCTCCCAAACCTTTAAAGAAGAATTAATGCCAATCCCTTTCAAACTATTCCAAAAATTGAAACAGAGGCCGTTCACCCTGATAACCAAAATCAGACAAAGATACAACAACAAAAAGAAGACCACAGGCCAATCTCTCTAATGAATATAGACACAAAAATCAACGAAATATTAGCAAACAATACATTAGCACATCAAAAAAATTATACATCATAATCAAGTGGGATTCATCTCAGGGATGCAAGGATGGTTCAACATACACAAACCAATAAATGTGACACAACATGTCAACAAAATCAAGGACAAAAACCATAGGATTTTCTCAATAGACTCAGAAAAGGCATTGGACAAAACTCAGCATCCCTTCATGATACTTTCAGACTCTCATTAAATTAGGTACAGAAGGAAAGGATCTCAACACGGTAAAAGCCATACATGACAAAGCCACCACCAATATCATCCTGAATGGGGAAAGCTTTCAGTTTTTCCTTTAAGAACAGAAACAAGACAAGGGTGCCCACTCTCACCACTCTTACTTAAAATAGTGTTGGAAGTACTAGCCAATCAGGCAAGAGAGAGAAATAAAGGACAACCAATTTGGAAAAGAAGAGATAGACCACAGCCTTATAGTACCAAAGTCACAAGGTTGGATGCCTGTATAGGCCAGTTGCTAAAAACAAACAAATTGGAAAAAATGAAGTCAAATTATGCCTGTATAGGCCAGTTGCTAAAAACAAACAAATTGGAAAAAATGAAGTCAAATTGTCTCAGTTTGCAGATGACATGACCCTATATATAAAAAAACCCTGAAGATTGTACACAAGCTCATTCACAATAGCTACACCAAAGTCACAAGGTTGGATGCCTGTATAGGCCAGTTGCTAAAAACAAACAAATTGGAAAAGATGAAGTCAAATTGTCTCAGTTTGCAGATGACATGACCCTATATATAAAAAAACCCTGAAGATTGTACACAAGCTCATTCACAATAGCTATCAAAATAAATAAATAAAAATAAATAAATAAATAAATAATAAAATAAAATGCTTAGGAATAAATTTAACCAAGGAGGTGAGATAGCTCTACAATGAGGACTACAAATCACTGCTGAAAGAAATTAAAGAGGACGCTAAAAAATGGGAAGACATTCCATGATCATGGATTGGAAGAATTAACGTGAAAATGTTCATACTATCCAAAGTGATCTACAGTTTCAATGTGATCCCCTTCAAAATACCAATGATATTTTCCACAGTAGAAAAAACAATCCTAACATTCATAGAGAACAACAAAAGACCCTGAATAGCTAAGGCAATCCTGAGCAACAAAAATAAAGCTGGAGGCATTACACTACAAAGCCATAATAACCAAAACAGGTATTGATATTCAACTCTGTACCTTGCCAATATGTATAATCACGTTTCAATAAAAAAAAAAGAAAGAAAAAAAGAATGGATGTGAAACATGAACATCATGAGAAAGAAAGGTAGTATGAGGATATTTGCTCTACCAGAAGTTAAAACACAATAACTAAATCAGTGTAGTACTGGCTGGGTAACTGAATGAGTTACGTAATAACTTCGTATAGCATACATTATACGCAGTTATACGAGTTTCAATAAAAAAAAAGAAAGAAAAAAAGAATGGATGTGAAACATGAACATCATGAGAAAGAAAGGTAGTATGAGGATATTTGCTCTACCAGAAGTTAAAACACAATAACTAAATCAGTGTAGTACTGGCACAATAGACATCCAGAAACCAACTCTAGTTTATATATGACTTGCCTATATGTGAGCAAATATATTTTAATTATAGTTTTTTAACACATAAACATATGGTAGGTTTGTTTCCTAGTACAGTTCTCAGAATTTATAAAAACTGCATTTGAAACAAATAAACAAAAACTACTTTTGGCCCTTTGGATCATGCTTCTTTGAATATGATTACATCCGAAGAGTGGACCTCATGGATCCAGGTATCATAAGAGTTACCCACACATGTCCACGGTGTTAACATGTTTAGGAAAAAAGAAATCCACAGTGGTCATGAGGGAGGGACGAGATTACTGGGATTTTTTCCCCCTTCCTTATTATTTGGACTTTTACCATAAAATATATTACTTTTATAATCTCCTACCAACACATATAAAACATATATAAAATAGAAAGATAATATTAGAAATGATCATGATTATCAAATATTTCTGAAAGAATTCAGGTAAGTTAAAAACTAGTATGTTTTCTACTTATTATTTTAAGCAGACAGAGAAGTACAACAGTCATCCCTTGGTCTCTGCAGGGAATTGGTTCTAGGACCCTCCCAACCACTCAGCTCTTTCCCTAGAGACAGCAAAACCAATGGATGCTCAAGTCCCTTATATGAGATGGCAGCAGTATTTCCATATAACCTACACACATCTCCCTGTCTACTTTAAGTCATCTCTAGATTACTTATAATACCTAACATAATGCAAGTAGTTGTTATACTGTATTGTTTCTTAATTTGTATTATGTTGTAGTATTATTTTTATTTATTGAGTATTTTCCATCTGCTGTGGGTTGAATCCATAGTTGTGGAGCCCACAGATATGAAGGGCCACTGTATTTTTCATGACTTGATTTACTAAAATTTGGTGTTTGTTATCAAGTCTTTGGAGCAATCTTTAAAAAAAACAGATTCAGTTTAGAGATTTGCCTTGCAACTTTTGAGAATACTGCCTCATTTCAAAGTTAATGGTGCTGAGAAAACTGCTTTTTCAAAGGCTTTAAAGGAGATAGTTTTAAAAATGCATCAAAGAGAAACACTTTACAGAATGAGGTGTGGTTTTAAATATGCCCTTAATTTCTTATCTGTAGGAGCTAAACGTGGGTAAAGTATAGGAACATTCCATTTATAGTCTGTTATTTTTTCCAGTTGAGAACTGTCAAGCACCAAAATGCACTGCTCAGCTAGATGACAAATGGGCTATTAAGAACTATAAATTACTTCTTCAAAATGGAGAGGAAAGCTTAGGCTTTCCATTTATGAAAGACCCAAATAAGTACACTGGACCAATACAAAGACATATCTCCAAACATTATCTCACCAATGCTAAACTGTTATTAATAGAAAAAAAAACTCCAATATTTAATTTACTCTTCCATGAAGTTTTTAATAAGCTAACATTTTCTTACATGTACACTAGTAATCTTAAAAAGACAAATATTTACTACCAAAAGTTAAATACTGTACAACTTAAGAAAAATATAATTTGAAGAATTTGTAAAAGTAATAAAGGGAGGTATCTACTTCAAATGGAGATTCAACCAGAAAATGTGAAATTTTTAATTTGTCTAAGTAACTCCAAAAATTTTATTGAAGCTAGAGACCTTACTATTTTAGTTTAAGCTTTCATCTACATATAGATTTAAATAAACCCTAAAAAATATTTTCCAGTACATATAAGGCTGCTAAAAAGAGTACATGATTGGGAGAAAAAGGACTATGCTAGAATGTGAACTCCTGAAGAACAGGAGTTCATTCATCTTTATACCCCCAGGTTCCTAGCATAATGCCTGGCTCAAAGTAAAAATGCTTGGGCAACGTTTGTTGCTTTGAACTGAACTGGGACGAATACACATTTCTACCTTTGGTCCAATTTTCCTTCACATTAAGCAATACATTTGAAGTATCTGAGCTGCTCCTGGTTCTTGGCCTTTGACTTTAAATTGAAATATGCATACACTTCCTACATCAGCCTTCTGACAGGATCCTCAGAACCAAATCATCACTGGGCTGTAAATCATCTCTTATTTCTTGGATAATGGTGAATATTAGTGTGCAAAACTAATGTATTTTCAATGAAGTATAAGTCTGTTCATATGAATAAAAATAGAAGAGGCCTTATTTTTCCATGTTTTAAATAACAGATACATAGCATCTTAAATTATGACATAATTAGCAATTTTCAGACACTGAACATAATACACTGTATTACAATGTAATGTAGTAGGCTTCCATTTTAGGAACAAAAATTAATTTCACATGAGAAAAGATTTATTTTAATTCACATAAAATACATTTAGAATAAATCTAAATTTTTAGCATAAAGTATTTAGAAACAAACACAGAGGAGCTTTAAGATATATGTCTTCATTCTATCCAAAAAGCAAATACAAAAAGCTCTTTTACAATTATTGATCATCACCTCGTTGTCTTAAATTTCTAGATTTTCCATTTTCAGTTCTTCTCTTTTTGAAGACTGGGGTCACTCCATCTGCTACAACTCCAAGAGAAGTGACTGTTTTTTCTTTAAACACCACTTTGGGTTCCATACCAACATCAGCTTCTGAAGTTGATATATAATCATTTTCAGAGCTTGGAAGTTCCAAATCCACCTCCTTACTGGAACAGAAAGTACAAATAAAACTATTATTTGACACAGAAAGACAAATGTTTTCATATAAGTTGTGAGCCCACCAAAGCCCCAAGATCACCTTTCTAATAATAGTAATAGTGAGAGGTTAGAGGTTGGTCACCTTGCAGTAAGAAACTATTTTAAAATACTGACTTTACAGTGTTATTTAAGATACTAAGCACTAATACTAGCACTAATTTAGATGAACACATGCCAAGAAAATCCCATCTATTTTATTCCTATTGCACAAAGGATGCATTGTCTAAGAAAATGTTTATGCATAATATGATAAGCAGAACAAGTAGATAAGGAAGAAGTATTTATGGAAACTGATTTTGCCATGGACTGACAAGGACTCTGGAGGATAACATAACACAAGAGGAAGGCCGTGGAATCTCAATGTCCTAGTGCAGAAGACTCACGTGGCTGTTTGTCTAGCACCCCTTTTCTAGGAACTAGCCCTTCAACCATCCATATGGTTGGTTATAAATAAGCAGCTGACAGGTCCTGAGATCAGTACCTGATTAACATGAGCCTATCATAGTACCCTACCTCTAGATGGTCAACTGGTCTCCATGAAAAGAGCAAGTAACTCACATCCCAACCACTAGTCCTATCCATGAGATTTCTGAACACGGACCAGAAAGATCATTATGTTTAACTCTAGTGGCTCAGAGTATAAAACCTGTTGGGAACCACATATCATTCTACTTGTAGAATGGAGGTCTATGGAGATAGAGAATTAAACTGGCATGTAGAGAGAAGCAGAAATGAAAGATGGAGAATGATTTGTTTTTTTTTTAAATTTTTTTTTCTTCCTTTTTTGTCTTTTTTCGTGACCGGCAACGGATCGCCACCCTCAGTGTCGCGCCCGTACCGGACTGGGACCGGCCACGGGATGGCAACCCTCGGTGTTGCTCCCGCCCCTCGCTCAGCCAGTGAGCGGCTGGTCTGTATGTGGGATCCGAACCCTCGGCGGGAGCACCACTGCGCTTCCCAAGCGGCGCACTATAGCAGTGCGCCACCGGGCTGGCCCAGAATGATTTGTTTTGAAAATAGATGCCTTCTACAACTTTTCTTAATTGTGTTAAAAATATACATTAAATGCCATTTTTGTTTGCTTCTCCTACTTACCTATTTTCCCTTAGACTGCTGACAATGGTGCTAAGAACGCTAATGACCACTTCAGTTGATGAGATATTAATTCGCTGACTTTCTATTCTTATTTTACAGGAGAGGAAACTGGGGTTTAGAGAGTGGTTAAATAACTTGGTCAAATCAAACTGATATGTAAGTGGTAGACCGTGGATTAAAACCCAGGCCTGTCTGACCCCAAATCTACATTCTTTCCCCTATACCACTCTGCTTCCATGTGAAACTAAGAAATTCCATTAGTCAAGTACAGAAAGACTTGAGTAATGAAGAACAGCAGGGTTTAGTCATTGGACAAATGAATCTGTGTCCAAGAAATTTCTATGTGAGACATTTATTTCACTGAATCCTGGTGCTGTATGTATTTTGATAAAGTGATCAAGCTACAGTATTACTCTTTAAGTGAACTTATGGGAGTGAAAGAAGGGGTTCCACTTTTGAAATCATAACAGTAGGAAGCTCCTTAGTGGAGGTTAACAAAAGTGGCAGTACAGCCACACACACACACACACACAAAAGTGGCAGTAGAGTAGGGTATACCCTTGCCACACAATCAGAGGAAAAGTAGTTTGTATCTGAAGAGAAAAAAGCAAGAGCCTATAAGTATACTATAGAGAATATACCTTCTTTTCAAATAACTTTGGAACAGTTATAAAAAAGGATATAAGCACATCCTCAAAACCATAATCACTTCCAAATTCAAAATGCAAAAACTGTAAAGGTTATATGTGAACACAGCATAATAAAAATGAAAAAAACAAAACTCCCACCCACCAGGAGATTGAAAAATAAAATACTCTTCTGAAAAACCATCAAGTCAAGAAGTAAGCAAAACACAATATTAAACTGTTCTAAAAACAATAAAATCAAGAAACATTTATTCACAGTTGTGGAATATACGGGCAGAACTATCTTTAAGAGACAAATTAATAGTTTTAACTATTTCCATTAAGAAAGAGAACAGACTTCTCTCCCTTGCCATGTGTCAATATTCTAAGTATTCACCTAAAGGAAGCCAGAACAAAAAACAGAGAAAACCTAACCAAAGGCAGAGAAAGAAAACTATAAAAATAAAAGTAGAAATGAAAAAACAGAAAATCAATTAATAAATGGAAATGTAATAAATACACAAATTCAAAGCTGGATCACTGAGGAAAAACAAAAAAATCCTTTAGCAAATCTTATCTAAAAAAAGAAAAAAAAATCAATAAATTTAAAAAGGGGGATTTAAAAAGTTATGGAAAATTTAAATATACAGAAAGCTCAATTATAGGGCCGGCCCGGTGGTGCACTGGATAGGTGCGCCGCTTGGGAAGCGCGGCGGCGCTCCCGTCCGAGGGTTCGGATCCCACATACAGACCAGTTCCCGCTCACTGGCTGAGCGAGGCGCGGGAGCAACACCGAGGGTTGCGATCCGTTGCCGGACACGGAAAAAGACAAAAGACAAAAAAAAAAAAAAAAAAGAAAGCTCAATTATAACAACAGCTATACTGAATGTAATCTCTTTTAATTTTATTTTGGCTCTTCTAATGTCTCACTCCATTTCTTTTGTGCACTAGAAATCCTCTTATTATTTTTTTTCCCCTTTTGGGAACCACTTCTCATGAGTTTTGAGTTCAGTTCATGTCCACTCAGAATTCTTTGTGGTTAACTCAGGAATGGGAACTGGGTATATAATAAAAGTTAAACAGGACCAGTTTGGGAACTGCCAGTAAAGAAGTACCCTCTTTTTGCTGGGATATTTAACTGTAAGTATTATACAAGCCTAAAGCTTTGCAATCAGGTGGGGAGACACTGCCTGAGAAGGGAGTTAAGGCAGAAGAAAGCAGAGCTGAGAGAGACAGTCACAGTATCCTCTAGATCCAGCCATGCTTGAAGTCACTGCATTCACTTGTCATTTGAAAATAAAAAGAGCCCTGGAGTGGATTATACATATTACTCACAGCAAAACCAGTAAAGCAAGAATAGTGATCTCCACCAACAATAGTTCCTGATAACTGCAGTTTAGAGCTAATATGATTTTTTGTGTGTTTGCTAAGACTAAAAATTTAAAATATGTGCTATTCACAGTTCTATTATCTTAAACAAAATTATAGGATAACAAATTTTCTTCTCTCTCACACAAACCATGAGAAAGATCTATGAAGACAGTACTGAGAGATCTTATGTTCCTCCCTGTACATACATTAATAAAAATGTAGGTTTAGAAAAGTATGTCTGTAGAGGCATTGCAATCATTTGTAAAAATAGTTAGAAAATTTGTTAGAATTACAAAAACAAAATAAAGGAGATTGTAAGGACAAAGATAAAATTTCAAGCAGGTAATGAAAATTCAAAAATTAAAAAAAAAGCCATTCTGCATAATATAAAACTTGAGGAACAATATACCTTAGTAAATCATGTTACAATATTTCCTCAAAAACTGATGATAGGATGCAGTAGTAAATATATGAAAATAAATTCCAACCTCATCAGTAAATCAAAGAAAATAAAAATGAGATACTTTTTGTAAAACCAGAAAATATTTAAAAGCTCAGCAACAATTAATGCTGGGAGTGTCCAATGGGATAGAAATTATCAGAAACTGCTGATGGAGTATAAATTGGTAGGCTCTTTCTAGAAAGTATTCGGGCACTGTATATCAAGATTTCAAAATACTCATAACCTTTAAACAGGTATTCCCCTTCTAGAAATAGTCAGAAGAATACACAGAGAAATACATCCATATAATAATCAGAGTTCATTATAAAAACAAATAATCTAAATGTCAAAAAGGAAATGACTCAATAAAATCAAGGTACATTTGAAAAATGAAATATTACACAGCAATTAAAAATGTCTATAAAATTTTAATAGGAAAGTATTAATAATGTAAGTTTAAATGGGGAAAAAGATAAAAATTGGGAAAAATATTTTAAAATGTTAATATCTCTGGGTAACTGAATGAGTTACTCTTATGCTTTTCTTCATTTTCAATAACTTTTTATAATAAGTATGTATTGCTTCTTTTTGAGGGGGGACCTCCCCTTAAGAAACTAGACTATGCTTATTTTTGGGGGGTGGGGGTGACCTCCCCTTAAGAAACTAGACTACTTATGAAGTCAGACATAATCTATACTTATTAAATTGGCTGAGTAAGTTAAAATTTAAGAATGACTTCACAGTATATTCATCACAAGGATAACAAAATACTCTTGATTAATTGAAAAAGTCTCAACTTTGAAGTATTTGTTGGCATTGTAGGACCACCTTCCTATTGTAAGTCACTTAAGAGATGACTTAAGGGCTGAAGTAATAGAGGAGTCTATTATTTCTGTAACTTTAATATATTTAGTCAATATGCTTATCATAGTACCAGGTACTACGTAGCATCGAATACATATTTCCTACCAGGTACTACATAGCATCGAATACATATTTCCTACCAGGTACTACGTAGCATCGAATACATATTTCCTAATATTTCATTAAGTAATATAAATACAACCTGAACATTTCATCTTCATCATCATCATCATCATCTTTTCACAGCAGTCCTAAGCTATATTATGTTATGGCATACCTAGAGAATCAATTCTTTAATTAGAATAGCATATAGAGCTGTTCAAAACTTATATTACTCTGTCTTGTAAAAAAAAAAAAAAAAAAATCACTGCTACGGATTGAATTGTGTCCTCAAAACTCCATGTATTAAAGTTAACCCTCACTGTGACAGTGTTAAGAGGGTGGGAAATCCTATTACAGTAATTGAAAGGTGGGGCCTTGAAAAGGTGATTAGATTGTGAGGACCATGACCGAGTAAATGAATTAATAAATTGATGGTGGTCATGGGCATGGTTCTGAGGGCTTTAAAAGGAGAGTGCATGAGAAGCTCTCCTGTCTCTCTTACTTCTGCCTTTCTTGCAATGTGATACCTGTGCCTCTGAAGTCACCAGCAAAGAAGGCCCTCACCATACCATAAGTGTTCCCCGAACTTTGGACTTCTGAGCCTCTCAAATTGTAAGCAATAAACTTTATTTTCTTACAAATTACCCAGCTCGTTATTTTGTTATAAGCAAAAGAGAGAGACTAATACAATGACCTTTTCATTAAAATACCGTTTTAAGATCAATAACTTGACAATAAAAGTATACACAGAGCAGTCATCTTACATTACCATTTGAAAGCATTAACGTTTTGGAGAATAACTGCTTTACTCATGTAGATACTTTTTTCTTAACCTAAAGATTCCTTTAAGCACTTAAGAAACATTAAAATGTGAAACTGGGAGTGATATTTTCCTTTTGTGGTATAAATATTCCTAAGAAAATAACTGATTTGAGGGCTGGCTGGTTAGCTCAGGGTTAGAATGCAGTGTTATAACACCAAGATCAAGGGTTCAGATACCCAGACTGGCCGGCCACCAAAACAAACAAAAAACCCCACAAAATAATGGTAAAGACGTTACCTGATTTATATTATTACCTTATTTATTCATATTATCTTCTCTTTTCTTTTTTTTTGTGGCTGCCTGGTATGGGGATCTGAACCCTGGACCTTACCATGATTTTGTTTAACTGATAAAACTGTTTTTTAAGTAGCTTAAAAACTTTGATGAAGTGTCATGAGCAACTTTTAAGAGAGTAACAAGCAAGAGTTTTTTTTTTTAAAAGATGACCAGTAAGGGGATCTTAACCCTTGACTTGGTGTTGTCAGCACCACGCTCAGACAATGAGCGAACCGGCCATCCCTATATGGGATCCGAACCCGTGGCCTTGGTGTTATCAGCACCGCACTCTCCCGAGTGAGCCACGGGCCGGCCCCAAGAGCTTTTTTTTTTTTGCCTTTAGATATATCCTACAAAGCATTTATTGAATATGCCAGTATTTGTTTCTCTGATAGATTAATGATGGTGAATGTGAGTGCCCATGCATACATGGTTTGAGTTGGTGTGTAAATGTGGTCAATAGAAATATCATGTTTTGGTAGGAATTAAACCAATTATTACCCTTCCTTTTTTTTTTTTGTCTTTTTTACTGACCGGAAACGGGATTGCAACCCTCGGTGTCGTGCCCGTACTGGGGACTGGCAACGGGATCGCAACCCTCGGTGTTGTGCCTGCACCGCGCTCAACCAGTGAGCGGGAACCGGTCTCCACATGGGATCCGAACCCTCGGTGGGAGCGCCTCCGCGCTTCCAAGCGGCGCACTCTCCAGTGTGCCACCGGGCCAGCCCTACCCTTACTTTTTAAAGTAACCATCAGCTTACCTTTTAAAATATTTAAAACAATTTAATTAGAAACAATAAAAACTACTCTAGAAATAAAAGAAATGAGCTGCACTTTTAATGAGCACAGCATCCTTGATATTAGCTACTGTAATTTATGGAAGTACTGGGATGGAAAATGTTTGTAATAATAGTGGGATTAAAATTTCAGGTACTTACTGAGACTCAACCTCTTGTTTAATTTCTTGCCATTCTCCATATGGGTTTGGTTTTTTAAGAGTTTTGGATTTTTCTTCATTTGGACCAGATAAATTTTGTTTTTGAATACTTTTTTCTTTCTGTGTTTCTGGGTCAGTTCCTTCCTCATTATTTTTATTTTTTTCCTGAAATGTAAAAGTTAAGAGCACAATTCAAAAAAAAAGAGAAATGACACACTTCAAGCAAAAGTACCAGAAAACAGAATTTCTTTAATGAGATCTTTAAAAAGTTTTGTTACAGATTTACTACTACTAATAATACACTAACTCAATAGTTTAAATTTGGGGGCCAGCCTGTGGCTCACTTGGGAGAGTGTGGTGCTGATAACACACCAAGGCCACGGGTTCGGATCCCATATAGGGATGGCCGGTTGCTCACTGGCTGAGCATGGTGCTGACAACACCAAGTCAAGGGTTAAGATCCTCTTACCGGTCATCTTTAAAAAAAAAAAAAAAAAAAAGTTTAAATTTGCACATAATACAATAAAAGTACATAGAACTTAATGCTTGATGAAGTTTTTCATTATGTCTAAAATGTTAATACACCATGACGGAGGCTGCTTCTGAAAATTACATAACATGATCCTATTAAATGTCATGAGTTCCACTATTAACTCTTTTATCCTCTCTTTTCTTTTCTGCTTTCTCACCTTAATCACACACCCACCACTGACCTCCCTTTATATTGTGGCCCTTTTGAATTTGATGCCATGTCATTAAACTCTTCAACATCCGTTATTTATTTAAAGAACTCCTTTAACCTATTAGTCTTAACTAATGTTACTTTCACTTGAGGACACTGCCAGAGTCTCACTGGACTATACAAGTAACTTTGAATGAATTAGAAAAAGACACCCCTTTGGGGTAGAAGCAACTCCCATGGGATGGGACTGGTGCCTTATGGCACCCCCTCATCTGGGATAACAAGGATTTACGACACAGTTTAGCAAGTGGAACATATGCTGGATTTTAGCCTGTCTGCAAACTGCACAACCATGCAGGGCTGTGACACTACTTCCTTGAAATTCTTTGAATGGATATAAACTTATTCTCTCTTGCACTTGGTATCATAGGACTAAGAGGCAGCATCCACTTTCTCTTAGCAATCTTGGGTGCTTCCAGACCATGATATTTTAAATAAAACATTTTTACTGAGAATAAAACATTCTTCCTTGCATGATCTAATGACCTCTAGCTACTACTCCATATTCACTAACTTTAGCAACTCTGGCACCATTTTCTCTCTATTCAAACTCCTGCTGTCATCCTTGGGAGCTTAAAAACCCTCTGGCATCAGCTTTGTTTTTTTTTTGTCCTTTTTGTGACCGGTAAGGGCATCGCAACCCTCGGCTTGCTGTCGCCCGCACTGCGCTCAGCCAGTGAGCGTACTGGCTATCCCTATATAGGATCCGAACCCGCAGCGGGAGCGCCACTGCGCTCCCAGTGCCGCACTCTCCCGAGTGTGCCACGGGCTCGGCCACTGGCATCAGCTTTGTGAGCCTCAAAACCAATGACTTTGGCATTCACTGTATTTCAGCCATCTAATATTACATCTCCTTCCTCATACACAGCACCTGGTATATTGGTTGTACTCAAATATTAAATCTTTATACCTATGTTCCTTGTAATTTAACTAGATCACTACTCTGAAATGCCCACCTGTGAAATCTTAAAAGCCAAAGCCCATTCTTTGACCACAGTAGTTCTTAATTTTTTCAGCTTTCTGGCTCCCTTCCTTCTCTTATCACTCTCATCCAACCTCATTACCATCTCTAATACCTTAACTTCATTTTCTGTTCCAAGTTTGCTGGTTTCTTCTAGACTGAACAGGCTTCTTATAGATACCCAAGCCCATAGGGAATCACTTTAACATTCCTTTATAAGCATCCGAAATATCTTTGTTCTTACTCTTGTTGACTGCATAGGACCTAAACACTTCCAAACACAGATCTATGTTGCTTTGTGTTGCTTCACCCCCCACGGATTTGTCACCCCTCTTCCCCTGGGTGATGGAGATGCAAAGGATTACTCAAAGCCCATCTCTTCCGAGCAGTGAGAAACCCCAAAGTGGTTAATTTCCCAAATGGAAGGGTTGGCTCTCACTTGAGCGTTCCCAGGGAAGTTAACCACTTTGGGGCTTCTCACTGCTCAGAAGAGATGGGCTTTGAGTAATCCTTTGCATCTCCATCACCCAGGGGAAGAGGGGTGACAAATCCGTGGTGGACGAAGCAACACAAAGCAACAAAATTTCAATCACCACCTGGGAAAGAGCCTTCCCAACACCGAGAGATTTATGCAATGAAAAGTAAGACCTTTTCAATCTAGATATTCATCATCAATGCTTTTATGAGGAATGCCTTAATCATAAAGGGGGAAATAACGTCTTCTCTACAAAAGCAGTTCTCTAAATTTTCCTGGCCTTAAAGAGGGTGTTTGCAACTTGGATGAGACATCCTGTTCTTAAACAAAGACTTGTAATTGATCAAAGATTTAACAAAACACTAGATGCTCTGAAAACAGTAGTGTCCTGGACAGTTTTAACATTAACAAACTCTCTGAACTCAGAATCAACTATTATGTGAAGTTGAGACTTTCCCGAGTCTCAACAATTGCTAATAACACCCAATTCACAGCACCTGGAGTGATGCCGCTACAGCCTGCCCTGAGATGATGACATCATCAGTCCTCACCTGAAGTAAATTAAAAGGACTTGCCATGCTAAATGATACTAACTTTGCTTTAACAAAATGCTTTTTGTCTTAACTGTGCCAATCTGATCTATAGGTTTGCTTTTTCTTTTAAATAAATAAAACAGGGGAGATGTGGAATATACTATAAAGCATATGTACTTCACAGGGCCTGTTTTTCCAAAGCCTTGCAGTTTCAAATATTGACCCTGCGGGCCGGCCCCTGGCTCACTCGGGAAAGTGTGGTGCTGATAACACCAAGGCTCCGGGTTCGGATCCCATATAGGGATGGCCGGTTCACTCACTGGCTGAGCGTGGTGCTGACAACACCAAGTCAAGGGTTAAGATCCCCCTACTGGTCATCTTTAAAAAAAAAAAAAAAAAAAAATTGACCCTGCAAGGACAGGAAATTTTCCTCAGGCTATAAGTCTCTGTTGCAAGATAAGAATTGTGGCACAGCAGGTTGCTGGCTCAAAGACAGACTAGTTACTGATTGTTATGTAAAGATACTGAGAAATTGCTATATGAAGGAATGTTTACTAAGATCAAACTTGTGTTGATAAGACCACTTAATTGTCTACTGGAATATCATCTGGCTTGTGTTTACTGAAAGTTACCAGCCTATATTGTTAAACTATAACCTCACCTTTGTTCTCTTCCTGTAACTTCCTGGTCTGGAAAATAAATGCAGGAAAAGAACCCCAATTCTGTGTTAATTTCCCAAGAAAGGGAAGTTAACTACTTCGGGGCTTCTCACTGCTTGGAAGAGATGGGCTTTAAGTAATCCTTTGCATCTCTGTCACTAAGGGGAAGTGAAGTGACAAATCCGTGGGGGGGGGGGGCGAAGCAACACAAAGCAACAGATCTATCCAATTATTTTTTTTAAGTGTTAACATTTACTTGTACATATTTGTGGGGTAGTGTGTTGTTTCAATACATGCATATACTGCACAATGATGCACTCAGGGTAGACAGCATAGTTTTGTACTGACATCTCAACATTTCTGTTTGTTCTTAAATTTGGTCTGTCAAGTGTTTAAAAAAAAATCATACAAACTGTTGAGACTTCAAAATTTATGCTATCCAATTTCAGCACAGACTTTAACACTGCTTAGTAATGTGTCTCAAGTTATTTCTTTTCCTACATAGGACTGATTAAGTAATGGTATATTCATACTGTGAAACACTATGTAGCCATTATTTTGGCAGATGAAGAATTATTAATGTCTTTGTAATAGATTACACTGCAAAATGATAGTAAAATCTTATTTCAGTATGATTCAATATTTTGTTTAAAATAATGTGCATGTGTCTGAATAGAAAAAAATTATAGATCATAAACACTAAGTATTATAGTGATTTTTCTGGGAGTTGGCAGGATTATATGTAGTTTGTCCATATTTATCTGTATTTTGTAATTAATTATTTTTTACTATGGGCACATTAATTTTGATAACAGAGAAATTAAGAATTTCTGCCCCAGGTTGGGTACTGGCTTACCTAAATTTGACTATAAACATTGTGAGAAGGCTACTACAACAAGTGCTTTCCTGTTGCTCTGCAAACTGGATAGCTCTAAGTCCCATCAAGAATTATGGAGTAAGAAATTCCAGACAATGACAAGATCCTAGGTGTGGCCTGAAAATCCTTGATTTTCCTATCCCTCTCAGGCCATCAATCTCAACCATGGGTTAAGGTTTTAATGTGTCTTCTCTGCTTTGGTACTGAGTGTTCGTGGAGAAGGTCATAAAAGCAGTACTACTAGCAATACTGTAAAAATGTCTGTTTTCTGCTTTCCCACCATGGCTGGGCACTCGGCATTCCCTGTCAGTATTCTTACTTGGTTCATTTCCTTCCTCACCCCAGATCAGTGACAATTTCAATCCATTAATGCTGTAAGCAACTCAAAGCTCCCCACTCTCAGCAAGCAATCCTCCTTTCTTTATGAATAAGAAAATTGAGGCTAAGAGCTTGACTCTTTCAATTTCCTCCCTGATACCAACTCATTTATAGTCATAACTTCTTACAGAAAATGAAAACCTTACCTTCTTATAGAAAATGAGTTTATTTCTTATTGAAGACCAATCTATCCATCTGCTCTTGTTGGTATTCCCTTTCTACCTCCTTTGAAGTCCTTCTCAACGAAACTACCACAGCCACAAATCTCTCATGATTAAGAGTCAATATCAAGCCACCATCCTATCATCTAATTTCTATTTTTCCTTTCATATCCAAACCACATATGCAGTGTGAAACACTTTCCAACCTCCTGTAATATGAGTTCTGCCACACAAAACACTGGTGAAACTTCTAGGAGGGCATCAATGACTTCCTAAATGCCAAATTCAATGGACATATTTTTTTCAACCTAATTAATCCTCAATGCTCCCTACTCATTTGGCTTTGGGGCATTAAGTTCTGCTTCTCTGTATATCTTTCTAACTACTCTTCCTCAGTCTACTTTGTGGCCTCCTCTTTCTCTGCCTGATACTTAAATGTTCAATATTACCCAAGGTTATTTTCTTAGGTTATCCCACCTATTCTAAGATTTAAAGTACTTACCAATATGCTGATGATACTCAAATTAGTATTTCTAGCCTAGATATGCAGACTGGCCTGTTCAGACAGCTCTCTGAATATTACAGAGGTCTCTCAAACTTAGAAGGTCTAAAATGAACTTAGTGTCTTGATCCCAAAAGGATATCAGTAAACGGTACAACCATTTATCCAGCTGCCAAAATATGTCTTGGCTTTATTTCTGTCCTCTACCAAAAGACTGAAGAAGGTCTGAAGAGCTTTTTATAAATTGGTAAACTTTTGCTATGGGTAAACTAAAAACCTACCTTAAATTTTATTTTTGGCTGTTTTGTTTCTGTAGAGACCTTTCCTTCTTCTGCTTTCTGTTCCTCATCAGAATCACTATGTGAATCTGATGATTTGGATTCTTCTAGGGTGTCAGGTGACTTTTCATTGACCTTACTAGAAAGCAGATCACCAGTGTGTGGAATGAAATCATCAGGTTTCTCCCATCTGGATTCTGCTCAACACATTTAATAGTCACGTTATTTATTTACTCATTCTATTCAGAAATAATTCCAATATAACACTTTCTATCACTTAAAATTATTCAATGACAATACTGCGTATATTCTGTACTACTTCTTGATCAAGAAAATAATACATAAGTTCTCAAACCTCTTGCTCTTATATCTTCAATTAATTTCAAACAAACTGGATTTACTAGGTGTATAAACAACAATCCCAGTGGATAGAGAGACCTAAGAATTGGATGGTACTTCTAAGGACTCTCAGAATTCACCTGGCACCAATTCAGGAAATATACTGATAATGAGCATACACGGGATTTCCTGGAATTTTCTTATCACAAAGATTTCCTGGGATTTTCACAAAGTGAAATCATATTGTGAAAATCTGAATGAATATAATTTGTCATTACTATAGCGAGAAGAGAAAAAAGTCTCATTAGATTGAACTCTACTGCCATCTGGTGGTTCACTGGACTTTTAGTAAAATGACAGTTTCTAATTATCTTGCAGTTATTCTATTTTTAGTTTAATAAAAGGGAGAGAAACTATACAATTTGTTCTTCAACCAGGGCTGAGGCTGCTATTAATAATTACACTGGTCCAGGCATAAACCAAAATCACTCAGGGAAAATCAATATGTATAGTCACTTAATTAATATAGGGTATCTTTCCAGCACTAATGAAGAACATTAAGGTTCCTTACCTATATTTCACACAAATAAGAAAAGAATTTTCAAGAAATAAATAATCTTTTAAATACCTACTATTTGCCAGGAACTGTTCTGGGAACTTTATAAAGACATCTGACTGTCATGACCCCATAGAGTACATATGATCATCTTTATTTTACTGAAGAGTGATTACAGGCTCAGTGACTTGCCCACAATCACATTGCTGGTAAGGGAAGAAGCTGTGCACTGAGCTGAGATTTGTCAACTCTAAGGCTATAGTATATTGCTGTATTATTTTATCTCTACAAAGATTCAAAACTTCAGTTTTACTGGTATAGAAACACTGCCATCACTGTGCAGGCTAAGTATCTGCTTGGAGGTTAAAAGGGCCTTTTCTTCCTTAAAAATTTAATATTATGTAGAAGGCTTTGGATAGTATGAATTAAAAAAACCCAAAAACTTCCAAAGTTACACCAATACTACAGCTATACTGGTAAATTTAACTGCAGTTAAAATCCAAGTACAATTACTTGAAGACCAGTTTTATGAAATTAAATGAGATAAAATATTTGAAAATTTTAGGTAACAGTAATTATGCATGTTTTATAAATATTTATACAGTTGAAACAGTATTAAATAAGTAAAAGTGAAAATTTGACAATTTCAGCCATTGCTAAAATAGCTTCAGTTTTGTATTTTTTAAAAAAAGGCAAGTTGAACTAGGTGATCTCTGAGGTACCTTCCAAGGTAATGATTATACTTCCTAAAATAATGATAAAAACCAGTAATGTTAGAGAAAGTTAAAATGATTCTTTTTAAAATTTGTGAGTGAAATATCAATTGAGAATAACATTACTGTGCAGCACAATATATTATAACCAGAAATATTTTTGCACTGTAGTATTTTCAAATTATAAAAATAATACATGCTTGCTATAGAAATATGTTTATCATATGTAGTTATACGTTGGTTAATGAGGATATATTCTGAGAGATGCATCATTAGGCAATTTCACTGCTGTGCAAACATCATAGAGTGTATTTACACAAGCCTAGATGGTATAGCCTACTACAAACCTAATCTATATGATACAGCCATCATAATCTTATGGGACCACTATCATATATGTGGTCTGTTGTTGACCAAAACTTTATTATGTGGTGTATGGCTGTACTAAAATCTGCAATTTCAGATGATTCATCAGCAGGCTAATAAGCAGTTTCAGGTACAATTTTAGATAATTAAGATAATCAAAGGTAATACTTACCTCCTGTTTCTGTATTATAATAATAGCTATAACCATCTTCACTTAAACCTTCTACCCAAATGGTCTTTACTGCTGTCTAATAGGAGATAAAAAATTTAGTGTAAACTGAAAATAACAATGATAGTTATATATTGAGTAACTAAGGTAGATTCAGACACCCTTTCCTTTCTTCTAGACACCTGGGAGTTTGGGGTGGTGGTACCGATCATGGCCAGTAAGCTTAGTTTCTGCTAATCATGAGCCAACTTTCAAGGAGAGAATGTCTCACCTTTGAAAGCTAGGAACAATTCTTTCTAGATGGACAGGGACATATAATGGCAACTAAGTACAAACCAACTAACAATATTTGTCCTGCGTGGAGCTTCCGGAGAAATATCACTGTTTCACCTCCACCCAGCCTTCCAATGAAAGGATTACAGAAAGAAAGGAGCAACACAGAGGGGTTAGGGGGGCTTATCTAAAAGTAAATTTGCTTAAAACTCTACAGAAACCCCGGAAGCCAATCACTTTAAAGAATAAAGCAAAAACACTATTAATGTGCTTCAGTTACCTTTTTTAAGTTTCCTTGAAATCCTTCAGGTTTCTCCCATTGAGATGCTTAAAGCAAAATATATTGCATTTATAAAATCTTTTTGCTTTAAAAAAAAAAAACAAACAACTTTCCAAAAAATTTAATTTGGATAAAACTTACAAGATAGTCACTGTGTAGAAAGAACACTATAAGTCTACAGTTTAATACATAATTGAAAAATAAAAAAGAAACAACATACATCCCAGAAGTATTTTTCAGAAGAATACATGCAAGTGCGACGTAACTGAGAAAAAAGGATAGAATGAAGGATCTGGAGTCACTGGCACTTCCACAGGAATTATTAGAGCCAGGTAGGGCTTCTCTTAAAGATGTCATGAAATTCAGGCTTGATAAGTTTTGAAGGGCATGGCCTTTTGACATCTTGGGGCAAGGGAGAGTGAGAGATGGAATAAATAATGACTCAGAAGAGGAATAAGATGAAGTACAATATGCAGGAATTAAAAAAAAGAATTGCTGAAAGCAAGAGTATATAAAGTAGGATGGTTAACAAAGAGAGTAAACAAGAAGCACTAGAAGGGAGAAAAAAATAGTTTCTAAGTAAATTTGAAAAAGACTTCTAATCCCTAGAATATAATCATTTAAGATATCTTCATTGCTGAACTGCAAATATGTACTTCACTTAAGGGTCAGTACAAACAAACAGAGAATATTACTATTTCTCTGTAGACCAAAACTGATTATGATTCTAAAGATCATAATAATTACAATATTGTTAGCTCAAGGTTTCTTCATGCTGAACTCTCTAATCTCATTTCCTACCTTCCTAACCATTCCTAATCTTGCTGGCTTTTCTTTTTTTTTTTTTTTGTCTTTTTGTCTTTTTTCCGTGTCCGGCGTCGGCTCGCAACCCTCAGTGTTGCCCCCGTACCGACGGGATCGCAAGCCTCGGCGTTGCTCCCGCGCCTCGCTCAGCCAGTGAGCGGGAGCCGGTCCATATGTGGGATCCGTACCCTCGGACGGGAGCGCCGCCGCGCTTCCCAAGCGGCGCACTATCCAGTGCGCCACCGGGCCCGCCCCTTGCTGGCTTTTCTTTTTTCTTTTTTTTGTCTTTTTGTCTTTTTTCCGTGTCCGGCGTCGGCTCGCAACCCTCAGTGTTGCCCCCGTACCGACGGGATCGCAAGCCTCGGCGTTGCTCCCGCGCCTCGCTCAGCCAGTGAGCGGGAGCCGGTCCATATGTGGGATCCGAACCCTCGGACGGGAGCGCCGCCGCGCTTCCCAAGCGGCGCACTATCCAGTGCGCCACCGGGCCGGCCCCTTGCTGGCTTTTCTTCTACCTGTTTCTTTAATACTGTCTATGTACGGGGGGAACTTAAAGAAGTTCATGGAAAAATTCGTATTATTTATTTTTCCGTGAACTTTTTGAAATACCCTCATACTACCAACATTCTTTACTTCTTGCTCTATCTCTCTGCTTGTGATCTCATGTACTCCTAAAGGTTAACATATTATCTACATCCCCAGACTCAATCTAGCTCCCCAACTGCAGGCTCTAACCAACAATTAGCTACTGAAAATTGTCACATGAATATTCTATAGGTACCTCAAACTGAACATACACAAAATTAAATTTATTATTGTTCCCCTTAAACTTATTTTTGGTTCCTGTATTTCATATCTCAGTAACTGGCACCATCGCTCTCCCAGCCCTCCATAAAAAGGGCCCCAAATCTATTTTTCCAGCTTCATTCTGCCACGACATCTTCAACAAAACAACTTATGTTTTACCACTACCATATGACTATTTCCCAAATTTTCAAATCCTTTTTTGGTTCATATTTTTCCATCTGTCTGGAACGCTGTACCTTCTTAATAATATACCAAAATCTTATTCAATCAAAATACTCAAGAAGTGCCTGCACTGTGCCAGGCACTATGCTAGGTGCTAGGGATACAAACGGTGAGTAAAGACATCATTCCTGATGGCTTCATCTCAGCTTAGAGATCAGCTCAAAAGTAATTCTTGTGATAATGTCACAGATCCACATAATCACAATTAATTATTCACTTTAAGCTCCTATATAATCTTATACTTCTATTACAGCACTTTCTAATTCCTCCTTGTATCAAGCTTACTTGCTTATTTCTGCCAGTAAATTTTATGTTTTTGAAGAGTAAGATGCTATATAAATGTAGGAAAAAACACACTTATTTATCCCAGAATTTATATCGAGTAAAAATCCCAAATATACTTAGGTTTAAAGAAGAACAAAAAGATGTTTTTGATATTCTTACTGAAAAACAATTTTATTAGAGATTGATATCCAACATTAATATGAAGGAGTACTTTACTAGGTCAATCAAAACACCCAAAAAAGAAATCAGTTTCTGGCTCCCAGACTGTTTTTGGATAGAAAATCTCTTCCATAGAATATTTTATTTCAAGGACCCCTACAATTTGTGAAGTGGATTTTAAATGCCTTATTTCCATGTAAAATGCTTTATTTCTCTGTAGTTCATACTTTCAGAGGGTTTTGAGACAATACGAACCCATAGTTGACTTGTAAGAAACCTATTATTAAGGCTCTAAGTATGACACCAATTCACTATGTGAAGGGCATCTTTTTAAATGGCACTTAATTTTTTCACCTTTGTAGCAAAAATGAAAAGTTACAGTCTTTTATTGTTTAAAATGCTCTAATATTAAGTGAAAATCCTAACACAAAATAAATTGTTCTATTCTACTAGTGAAACTGTTCTCTACTAGTTCTACACTTATATGACTCACCTCCTGTGATAAGATCATAATAGTAATGGTAACCCTCAGAGGTTATGCCTTCTACCCATCTGCCCTTTGAAGGATCTTTTTTTCTTTTCTTCTTTTCTTTTTGTTGATCTGATGCAGAGGTGGGTGGGATAGTGCTGGTTACTGGTGATATGCTTGGCTCTGAAATTTCTATAGAAGTGATGAGAGAAAAGTGAAGTAGCCAAAGCAACTATTTTTTTTTGCTGGCATAAAACATTAATAATTCCAGTCAAAAGCCTGAAAGATTCTTTTGGGAATGTGACACATTATTATAAAGTTCATCCGGAAAAATAAATATGTAGGAATGTACAGGAAAATTGTAAAAATAAAAAAGAATAAGGGGAATTTAGTCCTACCAGGTACTGAGACTTATTCTAAAACTATGGTAAAAAAATATCCAGCAGTGTGGAACTGATACAGAAACAGGCAGACATATGACTGAAACAGAACAGTACAGATAGAGTCAACTGTAGATTCCTGATGTTTCTTAGTAGAGGGGAAAAAGACAGTATTTAATAAAAGGTCTTGGAATAACTGGTTGATTATCTGGAAAAGAAGTACAACTATTCCTGACTCACTGCTTCCTTCTAACTTTTTCACACCAATGTATTTTATTTATTTATTTATTAGGTTTATTTATTTATTTATTTTTCCTTTTTGTCTTTTTCCATGTCCAGCAACGGATCGCAACCCTCAGTGTCGCCCCCGTACCGGACCAGGACCGGCAACGGGATCGCAACCCTCGGTGTTGCTCCCACGCCTTGCTCAGCCAGTGAGCGGGAACCGGTCTATATGTGGGATCCGAACCCTCAGCGGGAGTGCCGCCACGCTCCCAAGCGGCGCACTATAGCAGTGTGCCACCGGGCCGGCCCATATTAGGTTTATTTATTAATATATATGTTTTTACATTCTATGTTGTTGTTGCAGAGCAGCTGCTGGGGAGGGGGAGAAGGGAAAGGGGAAGAAAATAGGGTGGGAGGAGGAGGGGTGGGGTTGAGGCCTGTGGCACCCGTCATTCCTGCATGGGAGACCAGGGGGCTTCCAGCTGTGGCTTGCTCATTCCTGGGCTGGATGCAGATGCCAGAGGGGTGTGGCTGAAGCCCCCCCCCACCTCTGGAGCCTGGAGTGCTTCCTGTGGTGGCTTGGTGGTCGACTGTGGTCGATGTTAGGCTGGCTGCTGGTGTTGGGGGACGTGGCTGAGACCCTTGAACCCCCACCCTCACATGTTTGAGACTGGTTGTGGGTGTCAGGGCATGACTGAGGCCCCCAGCCCTCCTCTCTCCCTGGCTTGGTAGCCCAAGGAACTTCCGGTCCTTCTAGGTTTTATAGGTGTTCTTTGGTGATGTGAGACCTTTACCTTTTTTTTTTTTTTAAAAAAGATGACCAGTAAGGGGATCTCAACCCCTGGCTTGGTGTTGTCAGCACCACGGCTCAGCTAGTGAGCCAACTGGCCATCCCTATATGGGATCCGAACCTGTGGCATTTGTGTTATCAGCACCACACTCTCCCGAGTGAGCCATGGGCCAGCCCAGACCTTTCCTGTTTTAATAACAAACTTTGTCTCTGGTCTGTGGGTATTTTGTTTTTTCTTTCAGTTCTGTATTAGATTATTTGCTGTTCCTAGCACTTAAACTTTCTGTACTATAACTAATTTGTTGTCCTTTGCTTACTTCTAAAATGGGGGAACTTCCTGTGGGACCAGCACTTGAGCACTATGGTTGAGCTCAACTACTGTACACCAATATAAATCCCAGGGCAAAGATATTTACAAAAAGAACACAAAGTAAAATAATGTTGAATTTGATTACATAGGGCTGGCTGGTTGGCTCTGTCGCTTAGAGCATGGTATTATAGCATCGAGGTCAAGGGTTCTAACACCCATATCAGACAGCCACCAAAAAAAAAAAAAAAAAAAAAAAAAAAAAAAAAAAAAAAAAAAAAAAAAAAATTTTTTAAAAAAACAAAAAAAAAAAAAAAAAAAAAAAAAAAAAACTGACTAAATAAAAATTAAGAATTTCTGTCAAAAACCATATATACAAGACAGACAATGAAAAAATATTTACAACAAATATGACAGAGGATTAATGTTCCTAGCAAAGATCCCTTGCAAATCAAACATTCTAACAGAAAAAAGGACAAAAAGGGCAAAGGCAATTAAGAGAATTAATGTTTACCTTCACCAATATTCAAAGAAATGCAAATAAATATAATTTTTTTTTTTTGCAGGAGATCCGTAGGTACTGAAAAGAACCACCAAATCCAGTGTTACATCTAACAGGTATTTACACTGGTGTGAAAAGATGAGTAGTTTTTATGGCTTTATTTTTTCCCAAATGATTGGCCAGTTATTCCCAGTGCCAGTTAATAAATTTATTTTTTTTCTAGTGAAAGTGTAAATTAGCCCAACATTTCTGGAGCCTGCTTGGTATTAGCTATCAATATATAAAATATTCTCACACTTTGATACTGCAATCTTGCTTCTAGAAATTGAACCCACAGAGATAAATGGAAAAAGATGCATGCATAAGGATGCTTACTAAAACCTTTTTTTAAACAACCTCCGAACAAACCATAGCACAAAATTATACATAATTAGAAAAAAAAAAAATCCCCTATGCCCCCTTTAACTACCAATGTCCAGGATAATATTTTTAAAGTCTGGCTACAATTATTCTTACTTAATGAAGGCAAGGACAATTAATTTAACTGGTTATTCTGCTCAAAACCTTAATTGAAAGCTGTTTTTATTAGAGTAATGAATACCATTCTTTGTTGACTATCTCAACCACTATGCAAGATCAACAACTGAGATCTGCTATATGCTTCGTTTAAGGACAATGGATTTCTCATGGAAGTAAGGCCCACAGAAGCTTCCAGTTTAAAGCCTAAATTCAGTGACAAGATAGACACATTTTAGTTAAACGATGCCTTTTACCTGGAACTCTGTTATCCTCAAACCCTCAAAATATCTGCCTTCTAGTAGTAAAGTTAGTTAATTTAACTACAAAAAGCTAACTCACTATATATTCAGCCATATAAATAAACATGATTCATAGTTTTGAGCATATGGATAAAGTGAACTATAATTATAATGCGAGGTCTATTTTTTAATGATAGTGTCTTCTAGCTAAATAATTAGAACACCTGAAAAACTAAAAGTGTCTCTGAAATGAACTACTCACCCAGGACAGAGCTAGGACTAGGTAACCCAAAAGGTAGTATGGTTGCTGTGAATGGAGGTGTTAAAAGATGAAGCAATAAAAGCAAAACAAAAGTGTGAGCTAAGACTCACAGTCTAAATAGGACTATGATACAGAATAAAAGCACTGAGTATATAACTTCTTTATGAAAACAACTGATGAAGCTCACTTAGCATGACCTCTGATGTTACTTTTAAAACATGCTGGCTGCTTTTTTACCTGACTCTAGGCCAAGCCTTTTCAAATCCTCTTGGTATGCTTTCAGGGCAGCTGCCTCCATTGCAGCAAACTCCTTTGATGCTTTTTCTTCTTCCTTTGCCTTATCCAGGCTTTTCTGTTTAATCTATGTAAGATACATGTAAAAGTGATAGTGAGATAAAGGACTATTTACATAGAAAAATTGGCAAAGAAACAATTTAAATTACCTCACTGATCCTTTTTGCCACATTTTCCTTATGGTTCTTTCCTCTTTCATGAAATTCAACACTCTTAAAAGTTAAAAAAAGAGAAAATACAAAGGAAAAGTATATAAACATCATAAAATTAACAGTAAGGTAATACAGCCTATATGGGAATGGAGCATAAGAAAATTGAAATTAAAATGATTGGCAGAAAAGATAAAAGCAGTTTAATTTTAATTTAAATTGGCCCTTTTTAATGAAATGCTAGGGAAGTGAACCACATTATTTATTACTATGCCCTCTGACTAGGTTTCCTTTGGTTCTTAAAATAAATTATGATGATCATATTAATGGAGAAAAATATAAAGTATCCTTGATGACTAATCTAGTGAATATGATTGTAATGAGGACTTGAACAAGACATGAAGCCAAAAGAGTGGGGGGAAAAAAAGTCTTAAGAAACACCTCTCAATATCAAATGTCAAAACTAGTCTCTAGAATTTCATTGCTCTATTTGCCACATTAAGAAAGAGACATAGAGAACAAACAATGATCCCTAGAATCTTATTCCTCAACCTGGGGAGGAAAGTAGACATTTAATAATTCCTCATTGTGGTGCTGGTAACACCAGGGTCAAGGGTTCAGGTCCCTGTACCAGCTAGCCAAAACAAACAAACAAAAAAACCAAAAATACCCCAGTAAATTGTAAATAAACACTTTTATACAATGTAGTAATAGTATAAAATGTACAATTCTTACAAAAGACAATTTGGCAAAATTTATCAAAATTACAAAAACATTTACCCTTTGACCCAGCAATCCTGTTTCTGGGAATTTATTCTATAGATATACCTGCACATGTACAAAATGGTGTTATGTACAAGGTTATTCACTGCAGCACTGTTTGTAATAACAATCCAAGTAACTATCTATAGGGGACAGGTTAAATAAATTATTGTACATTCCCATATGCTGCTGTAACAGAAAACAAAGAAGCTCCCTATAAATTTATATGAAGAGATCCAGCATATATGGTTCATTTTTAAAAAAACTATGGTGTTGAACAGTGTATATGTTACCTTTTATGTGTGCCAGAGTAAGAACCTATATCTACATGCATATGGAAATGATGAAAGGATAGATAAGAAAAAATGGTCACATAAGGGGAGTGATGGTAACTGGATGGATGGGGACAGGGGTGGGTGTGAGAGCGTTATTAACTATTTAAACAACCAGAAATGCTCCCTAAATTATAAGTATCTGGTTGTTTGTAGTAAAAAACTCCTGGTAAACTCCGCAAAATAAGTTCTATCAATCAAATCTTACATGATGCATTAACTGAGCTATTTTAAAATACTAATGTGAATTACTCTTTAAAGTGTGACTTTGTAAAGCAAATAATCATCCTCTATTTTTCATATGTTGGGTTTCCTAAGGTTGATTACACCACACAATGAATACAATATTAAAGGACCATTCAAAATTAAATTAGTTTTGTTCCTAATTAAAGGTTAAATCAATGTGTATTAGCAATTCAAGGAAATAAAGACAGACTACACTGGATGGGATTATTTACTCCACATTAACTCACAGAATTCTTTGTATTGCCTGGATACCTCCAAGGAAGAGAGACTCAGTAATCTGTGTAGTTTTAAACATTCATAGCACTTATTATAAGAATGGCCTAAGTCAAACAAGATAGACAAGAACTCTAGCAACTATTCAAAAAGACCAAACCAAAATAGAAATGAAAAAAACCCCAAACACCTTGAAGACAATGGTAAATGCCTACCAGGGAAATACAACACTGTTAATAATGGAACTACTACACTTGTGCGTCTAACTCTGTCAAGTAAAAAGGATATGAGTATATATGTAACAGCTACCCTCATATTTATGTAGTATGTACACAGTAGTATGACATACATAAGACGTGGGGAAAAAAAAATCAGGCGTGTGCTTTTTGCTTTGTCTTAAAAGATGAATCTAGACGATGAAATACAGTAACAATGTGCTTAACAGAGCTGCTATTTTTATATTTCATGAGAGGAGATAATGATGTTCTTTCAAATGTAAGCATCTAAACATATAAAGCTCTGCACCAAATATATTTATCTTTAGACTAGAAATCATACAAGAAAAACTACAATTATGTTCTTATATTTTAAGGACTTTTTATATTTTCACTTTTCTATGTATATGATAGTATTCCAAACAACACCATTATAATGTAGATGTTTTTGTAAACATGGATGAAACAGCATACTCACTAACCATTTCCTGAAAGGGTATAGAGAAATACTTTGGCTTACTACGTAATCAAATTCAGGTTGATGAAAATGAAGAAATTATAGTTATCATATAGGGAATAAGACAGAATTCTTTTGATATTTTGAAAAATCAAGAGCAGTGTATATGAAAGTGCTTTGTAAACTCTGAGTTTCAATAAAAAGGAAACACTTCACATATAAACACATTATTCTTAGAATCTCTAAGAATGGAATTATCATACAGGCCTATTGTCTGCTATCCAGCACTTGCAGTAATCACAGAATTTCTTTGGTTGTGACTTCCAGTAGTCTGCCCTGAAAAAGGGAAAAACACATTTAAGCTTATTTAAAATTAAAAAAGGTAAAATTCTGCAGGCTTCACATCCTTTTGGAGTTTGACATTCAGACTCCGCTTCTGAATCTTGTCTTGTTATACATAGCTCCCTATTTTATTATTTCTCTGGCTGAAGCAGTCAATTGAAATTCTGCTGTCAGTAGAGTAGAAAAAGTCTGCACCAGATTTATTATAAAACTCCTCTACATAAAATAGCTTTTTAAAAAAATTCCTCATTTGTTACCGTCGTCGGTATTCAGAAATAAGGAACATCTTAGAGAAGAACACTTATCCTTTCTGGCTTTTTGGAGGCTGCTGTAATGGAGGTCTGAGGAAACTCAAAGTTTGCCTTAAGTCAAGTTACTTCCACCAAAAGAACAAAGCACAAGACTACTCTGGGGGAAGACTGGTTTCTCCAAAGCTATCCGTTAATACAATTTGTTCTTCGACCTCAGTGCAACAGAGACGTGGAAAAGCCAAGGGACCTCTCAGAACGCAGACCAAAAAAAAGAAGTCGTCATTACGCTATCCAGGGCTAGCCGCCTCTAGTGGGCGGGGGAGGCAGCGGTGGCCGCAGCCCAACTCCAAAGTTTCACAATACCCGAGGGTTCAAGCGCTTCAGAACCGGAAGGGGAGCCTGCGACCCCCGACGGCGTAGGTGGAGCGAGAACTACGTCGCATCACCCACAGCCGTCCAAGCCGCTACCTCAACTGGCCACCGGCCTCCCACCCTAGAGCCAATGCTCCGCGCCCCCAGGGCGCTCCGCGGGGTAGCATTTCTACTCCGCCCAGAGAACCGGCCCTGCAGGTCTGGTGCTGGTCCCGAGCGAGTTAAGAACGCGTCCGTCACGCCCCCGGCCGAAGGGCGGGAGAAGGTGGAGGGAAGACCCCGGGGAGAAAGGGCCGCCCAGAGAAACAACACCTCGTTTAAGACCTGAGACCAAACTCACATGACTGCGCCAGCCGCTCCGCACGTCGCCTGGGGCCCAAGTTAGGCTCGTGCTTTCCACGCGGGGAGTGTCGGGCAGGGCCTGGAGTGAGGCCCACCCGAACCTCCCTCCGAGCCCGGACACCTCCCTCCTTTCCCGGACGGACCAGCGTTCCCCGGTTCCACACTACGGGTACCCAGACGACTCAATCCGCGTTCGAAATCTCTTCCTCTTCTCCTCCCCCTACAGGGGCGGTACTCCAGGCTCCTGAGAGGTGGGGTCGGTATAAAGGAGTTGAGGTCACCGAGAAGGAGCGAAAGCGTGACGGGACCTGAGCTAAGGGACAGGAAACTCAAACCTCAAGTCCTCGTGCCATTCCGCTTTCTCGCTCTCCTTCCCTGGGATCTCGAACCTCCACCCTCCTTTTAGGCTCGCTGGCTTGTGACCAAGGAGCTCGCGCGCCGCCTCCGCCCCGAACGCAAACAGCTGTTCCCAGAGACTTCGCTGCCCTCAACTTTGCCAACTAGTCCTCACGCACTTTGACCAACGGAGCAACCCGGACCTGAGGGCTGGAAGCCGTTGGCGGAGTTAAAAAAGAAAGGTGAAACAGCTGGTTCGGGAACGGCGACTCGCTGGGCTTCGTCTCAGAACTTTCCTGTGGCGCCGGAAGGCCCCGCCCCTCCCCCGCGACGCCCGCGCGCTCGGGCGGCTCGTCCCCTCGCTCGGGAGCGCGTGGGCAGCGGCTCGAGTGGTGTAGAGGCTGCGGCAGGAGCGGCGGCGTCTGAGCGTTGAGAAGGCAGCAGCGGCGCCTTTACGCTCGTCAGGTGGGTCACAGCGGTGTACTCGGCAGCAGTTCCCATATGGTCTAGCGGTTAGGATTCCTGGTTTTCACCCAGGCGGCCCGGGTTCGACTCCCGGTATGGGAACAGTGTGACTTTTTCTTTTTTAACTCGTTTTGGGAAACTGACTTTTTATTTCCAATGGCTCTGGCTCCTTTTTTGTCCCCCTGTCCGGGTGAGTTTGTGGGAAACGAGCATTAGTAGCGTAGCTGTTAGCGGCGCCGGGAGCTGGGCTGCCGCTTCGGGAGCCCCAAGCGCTGTCCCGCGCGGGCTAGAGGCGCGAGTGCGCTCGGGGTCCCTCGTCCTCCCGCCTCGGGCTCGCGGGCTGGAGGGCCGGGAAGGAGTTTCACTTTCCCCGAGGCTACTCACCCCCCGTTCCGGCCCCGGGCTGTAGTTTTCCAGACTGTCGGGAGGTGATGATTAACTCCGGCCTTGCGTTATCTCCTCCCGGCGCCCCTCTCGGGCCCACGCCCTGCTTGGCCGCCCCCTTCCGAGTCGTCCCGAGAGACATGGGGAGTGTTTGCCTCCAAGTACCCCTTATTCTCGTCTGTCCGCCGGGTGTTTACGACCCTTACCCCTCCAAACGCAGCGCCCCTCCCGCCGCCTCCCGGGGGACGCGCTTTCCCGTCACCCCCACCAGCCGCGTGTGTACCCCTGTGTCCCGTGGCACCCAGCTCCGAGGCCGGCCGGAGAGGTCTCCCCAGTTGACATTCGGGGCGCTGGTGGCACTCACAAAACGTACCCCAGACTCGAGAAGACCTTTAGGGAAGAGTGAGGTTTTCCCCCTTCTCCCTTTACAAAATACACACAATGACCTGCGGAGAAGAAAAATACCACTATGATGAGATGTCTTTAAAGAAGAAAGTGGATTTTTCAAAGGATTTAACGTATTGAGCGTCGCTGATTTAAAAAAAAAAAAAAATCCTGGAGTGGAGGTGGGGCTTGAAAGAGAAAATTGGCTGGAGACTGGGGAGGGGATGTTATAACAAAGTTTCACTGTATTTTTAAATATAGAAGCCCTGTGTTTATTACAAAGAAGGGGCAGCTGTGTCAGCAGCATGTGAGCTGTAAATGAAACAAAAGCGTTATCTTAAATGCAGGCTGAAATTAGAAGATAGGGTGAGCTATAACGTTTAGTCTGTTGGGCCTCTGGGAACAAATGGAGAGGGCAAAAGTGACTGGTGGATGGGTTTTGGTCAGTGCCATCACCAAGAACAGAAGTTTGCGTTGTTAGTATGTGTTTTCCCAAACTGTTTTATAACTTTAACTGCACAGTAAGTTTGGAAATCATCTGTTAATATGCTCTGAATGATTAAGGGTTAGTTTAGCTTTACATTGTAAGAGAAAACAAACAAAAAATTCTGCCATAGCTAAAAATACTTTAAATCATCTTCATTAATGCAAATATTTCAGTGTTTAAGCCAGGCACCACCAGATGCTCTTGAAGTTACTGATGTTTCAAGTTCTTCATGTTTGTAGGTGGATAGAATACGAATGGAAGGGTATTTTGGCTCCTTGTGTTTAGCTATGTGCAGACCTGTGGAGATCTTACAGCCATAAATTTTTGATAATACATATCACTCATAAACTTTAAATACAGTTGCAAGAATCGTTGAACAGCCCTTGAATAGGTAATGAAAGTAGAAAAATTTCGCTTAAATAAGCAGTATTGT